AGGGCTTGTGTGAAGGAAGGAATGGGCCGTGGGTAGAATTCAGCTGGCTTCCAGACCTCGGTGGAAGCCACTTGTTTGGTGGCAGAAACTTTTGCCTTGGGTTCACGCGTAGTCTGATTAAACCCTGCAGTTTGCTTTCATGAAAAGTTCTAAATCGAGAGTCAAATGGGGGAGGCCTGGCTAAAGCCAAGAATTTCAGAATTTCTTGTGGAGGGGGATTTGCCACATGTTCTGAGCTGAGGTTATCACAAATCCTGGCTACCACAGTTTAGCCAGATTTTCTTACCAGTTTAGCTAAAATAATAGGTATGACTACTCAAACCCACTAGTCACATTGATGTGCAATAGTATCTTTTGGGCCTACACTGTGATTCAGTCCAAAACACAGGGTGGGGTTTGATTTAAAGAGAATAAATTCATTATAAGGGTTATGTTTCTTCTAAGAATGCTTGATAGGTCAGGATTCAAAGTTTCTGAATCCAAAGAGTTTGGATTCAGACATGAGTTGGTTCTGCCATTTAGTCATTCATGATATTCAGCAAATCCCTTGTTTTGCTTTTCTCTTCTTTAAAGGAAATATCTGGAAGTTTTGAAGGGATGGAGAATGTTTACAAAGAATTCTACATACTTCCTAGCATAGAGTTAACAGTCAACTGTAGGATGTCTACTGTAGGATCACCACTCGCCTGGCCGATTATACCTGATAGAAGGGGCTAGTTTGTAGGACACAGAAAATCTCATTAGCATAATGGCACAATACACAATGCTTTAATAGAGTTTTTTTTTAAAAAAGACCAATATTGGCAGGAAAATAATGGAGAGAGGTTTCACTGAGGTGTGTTTTCTTTATTCCAGATTCCTATGCACAGGATAGGTGCAAACTGCTGACTCTCCCCTCCCTATGTCCCCTCTCCTATTCATAATGTAAAGTCAAGGACATAAGTAGTACTTGGACTTTGAGGGGAGAATAACTATGAGAAGAGGGAGGAGGAAAACCCGAGTGGAATGACTTCTTGGAACACATCTAATGTTGATTGACTATAGACTACTTGGTGATTTGATTTTTTTTTTTTTTTTTTTTTTTTTTTTTTTTTTTTTTTTTTTTTTTTTTTTTTTTTTTTTTGTGCAGTACGGGGATTGAACTCAGGATCTTGTGCTTGCCAGACAAGTGCTTATTCTGCTGAGCTATCTCCCCCGCCCTACTACTAGGTGATTTGAAAGGAAAACTTTCATACAAGTTTGGTATATATGGTTTGCTTAATAATAAAGTCCATTTATTTCTGGTTCTATTCATTATAAGGGTTATGTTTCTTCAATATAGATTCAAGCAATTACATTCCAGATAAGTATAAATGAAGTATTACAATAAGGGATTTATTTAAATGTATCATGCAGATAGACATGGATTCAAACTTGAGTTTTTACGCTTCTAAGAATATGCTTGATAGGTCAGGATTCAAAGCTTCCCAGGCACCTTGCCCCAAACACTTTCCTTGGTTTCCCAGGCACCCTGCCCCCAAACTCTCTCCCCCTTAGCCCCATGAACAGCTAAACCCAAAATGGCATAACAGGTCCACCTGACTTTGACCTAGGCAAGCAACCACAGAAACTCTTTTTTAACATTAAAATCCCCCATAGACCAGTAGCCCTGCCAAGGTTAGCTCTCCCTTAGCTGTTCCAGTTCACATGCACCCTCCCCACTCCTTAAAAACCCTGTGCCTTGCTTTGTTTGCTGCTGTCTTGGTCCACTAGACAGCCAGCCTGCTTGCTGCCCCCAATTTACTTGCCTCAGAATGGTCTGGTTGATGGCGTGGCTTTGTATCTAACAGTACTATTGCATATGTTGGGTAGATTATGAAGTTCTTTAACTTCTGTATCTCAGATACTTCATGTATAAAATCTAGATAACTTCAACTTAAAGATATTAGGAAGATTCAAGAAGAATGAATATATAGCTGAGTGTGGTGGTGCACACCTGTAATCCCAGAACTTACTGAGTGGCTGAGACAAGAGGATTGATGTGAGTTTGAGGCCAACCTGGACCACATAAATGAGTTCAAGACAACCCTGCACTACATAGCAAGACCCTGTCTTTAAAAGAAAAAAGAATATAAAGTATAAAGTAAAAGAGGTGATCAAAAGTGTTTACATTTTTAAAAATTACAGTAAAAGATATATTGCCAGGAATGATAGGATAAGTATGTTCAAATCTGAAGCAAGGGGGAAACTTTTAGGGGGATTAGTGACATTTTACTGTATTTTATTTTAAAATTTAAATATTAACCATACTTTTTCATCACTTCTCATCAATCAACTATTAAAGGAAATTTCTGTCAAATAAAAACATCACAATCTTTTTATCCCCCTTATTCACCATACCATTGTGTGATTTCTGACATTTCTGCAAAGTCAGGATGACCACCAAAGGTCAACATTTTGAATGGATTCAGGACAATGAGGCCATTATGACAGCACAACTGAATATACTCAAGAAAAGAGGACTTCAGGGTTGCTTGAGAAAGTGGCATGAATAAGTGTTTGAAGCAAGGAGAGTATTTGGAGAGAGACTGATGGTAATATGTCTTTACAGTAATAAAAATTGTAAAACTTAAACATTCACTTGTTTGACCACACCTCATAAAATATACATTAGGGATTCTATTAAATCTCTTCCAAAAGTTCTCATGTTTTGCAGTTTTCCCAACAAAATAAGGGAAAAAAACGAGGATAAAATTATTTACCATGTTAAGTCATTTGACAGTTTGCTGTTTTTAAAAATTTTATTTAGAATTCCTACTTGTAGAAGTTAGCATAAGTTTACAGATCATTAGAAAAATTCAATGCTTTTCTCTCTGCAAACATTTATAACAGGTTAGGAATAACAGATTAGAAATGTAATACATTACAAAACGGTAGCCTATGACTATCTGTACATTTACTATGCACCTTAATGAAAAGAATTCAACATACTTACACTGTAGATAACATAATTTTAGTCTATCATACAAAACTGACCAGTGGTAGTGCTTGAATTTAAAAATGGCCATTAAACAGGGTATTTAAACTTAAATGTATAATTAGCATGCCAAAAAAGTGAAAAAAAAATTCAGTTGAAGTTTTGTGACTCATCAGTTCAAATATTTCATGGTATTTTTCTTTAAGTGAAAAATTTCCATATTGTAATACTAAGACAATTACTACATGATAAATGCAGAAAGAAATTTTCTACATGTTTTAGAAAGTACATTCACATTCATTTTGTCATGAGTTTCTTGTGGCTCTTCAAAATATGTTAATCTTATTAATAAGACACTGGTCCTGTATAATATTAACAGTCCACCCTCAGTTAAAAAACTGTAACAAAAATAGTATGTTAAGAGTAAGAAAAAAGTAAATTAAATATACTGAATTCACATAATAGGTACAACAAAACAAAACTAAATTACATAATTGTGGCAGGTTATACATTTTAAAGAACCTTTTTTTTTTACACTTACTCAAATAAGATAGAAGTTCAAATGTAAACTTACTCATTTCTGTAGGGTTCCCTTATTGGTTTAAATTGCACAATTTTACATAAATGTTAATATTTTATTACTATACATTTAACATAATTCAAAATGATCTGCAGTCTCATGTATGGCTCATCAATGATGCCATCATTACTGTATTTTTTTAAAAACCCTATTCATTGCTCATTAGAAATGCTAAACAATGGAAAAATGCAATTTTATACATTTGTGTTCTTAAATGTGGATGAAGGTATTCTTCAAAAAGTTAAAACTGCCTTCCACAAAGTTTTGTGTATATGGCACAAGTTGACACCCAAACAGTGTGAATTCCATCAAAAAGGCACTGTTTACAATGCTCAGAATAATCTGACATATCTACTTCAATGTCTCAGAGAGTAAGAATATATTTGAAATAGTATGTAAATAGACAAAACCTTATAAAAGTACAGCATTACTGTTTAAATATATTTTACCTATATAAAAGGAAATAAAGTGACAAAGAGAAATGACCCTTTTATGACAAGTAAGCCTATAAACACTGAATCATACTGTAATTCTGTAACAGAAAAATGACAATATTTTCTTAAAGGCACAAAAGCATGAGTATTACATGAAGGTTGTATTTCACAAGGCCAACTTTTCAATGGAATGCAGCTGTCAACTGAACTGTGACAAAGGTTACACTGTACCTTTACAAGCGATAAAAAAGTACTGACATTAAATAAAGTAAAACATCTATTGCTGTTACTTAATATTTCACATGCCCCATTGTTTCTTCTTAGCCAGCAACATCGCACTAAGAGGTAAGTGAAGACAGTACATTTAACAATAAAAAAATGTACATGTCAATAACTATTACTCATCTAAATTTTCATGTGAGAATTTTTTTGATAAGGTCATAAATCCTAGAAACCATCATGAGGATCTGGGATAGTTGGGAATAGTAAATCACACTATCAATCCATGTGTAAAGGAAGATTATGCTCAGGTAGGGAACATTCAAAGTCAAAAACTTATGGCTCAATACAAAGTTATGTGTTTTAGATTTACATACTGAAACTAATATAAGCACTGATCTAAAATTAAGCCACCAATTCCTGAGTTTTATGTTCAGTTTGTAGGAAGTTATATAACTAAAAGTATAAGAGGATTATTAGATTAGATATATGCTTTCAGTGTAGAAGAAACAGTCATAAATAATCCTGCTGTTTATTTTTTGACTTCTGGCTAAAAACCCATAATATGTACCCAAGAAAAAAATCTAAAAAAATAAAGCAAATATTACTTTTCCAGCCTCAGAAGATATCCATACAAATGAAACACTACTCAGACCAAATAATAGCACACAAGTGGATAAGACCAATACCCTAAGGCAGGTCACCTAGAAAAACTGAAGTTTTCAGGGTTTGGAGATGAAATGGATTTTGTGATCAGCCAATCAAGTTATATATAACATAAGTTAGTACTAATTTAAACCATAAAAAGTAAAAATATACAGTATTTACAAAATATGCAATGAGCAGTCAGTAATTGAATATGAATACAAAAAATATATTGACAAATATGAAATATAATCCAAAAATCCACCTGTTTGAAGATGTTCATGAAAATACTGGTTACAATTATATCTTATTTATGCTGTTATCAACGTAAAATTATTTTTACTTGTACACATGGAACATAGCATTATTTTGCTAACACATGGAAAATAGCTCTTACTATAATCCTACGGATACTTAAGATAGCAATATGAGGAAGAAAAATCAGATATTATCATTTTCAGTTTTGCACAACTTAGCAGTCATCCTTTGATTTCATATTTATCATAGCATGAAGAATGGACTATAAGGATGGACTATAATTTCATTATTGTCTCTTCTGTGAGATGGCAGATGTAACTGGAGCAATTACTCTGATTTTCATTTTCAAAATTATTTCAAAATCCTACCTTCAGGATGCAAAGATATACTTTAGAACAAAATATTCCTAAACTTTACAATTTTTTCAAAACTCTACATTCAAGAACTGTATGTATGTGAAAACACAACATCAAAAAGTTAAACTGAATAGAATAAGCACTTGCCTGGCAAGCGCAAGGGCCTGAGTTAAATCCCCAGTTCTGCCAAAGGAAAAAAAAAAAAGAAATTAAACTGAAGATAATATGAAAAAAAAAAAAAAAAAAGTAGGAAAAAACTTTGCTTCACCTTGAAGAAAAAGTAACTTAAAGAACTGTGGCTTTTCCCACAGAATGAAATTCTAAGAACAAAAGGGGATAATAAACAACTGAACTTCAGAACTGGATACTGTTAGATACCAAAGGATTGCACAGATTAAGGCAATCAATTTTAATACGCACATAAAAGGCATCACCCAGTGTCTTATCACCATGCTTTTAGTTTCTGAGATGAAATATTGGTTATTACATTTTCTATTCTACTTATTTGTTTGACACACTAGGGTCTAAACGGTAGATAAATGTTTCTCATAAAGAAAAAACATGAAGTATCAGTATTTTATATGTCCTATAAACATCTCTAGAATTTGGCCTATACTGACTTAAAGTGAGGAAAAAAACATCAATTTTGACCTCTTTTCAACAAGTACTTACGGTGGTATAATTAATAGGTGCAAGTACTGCACACCAGTTTATGTTGATATACACATAAGTACCTATATACCTGTTCCTACAAATATTAAATTAAATTATAGGGATTAAAATTTTTTTGTGTAAATTAAAAAAAATTTTCTACTTCTTTGTTTCAATATATTAATTTTGAACATCTGTCCTTTTCCTTTTTCTTTGCTGTTTTTAAGAAGACAATTGAGCTGGGTATTTGGAAATGATTTTATAATACAGGGTATTTTATTTATAATATGCCTACCATTATATCATTTCCCAGTCTGTAATTCTTTCATAAAATTTTGTGCCTGGTTATAAAGAAAGTAGATTACTGTACATATATTTATAAGATTGATAGCATTTCTTTTTCTTTTTTTTTTTTTACAAACAATGCTAACATTCTATCCTAGAACATACTATAGAATACAAAGACTACTATCAGGTAAGAGTACGTTAGAGACACTGTGTATACACGTGGATTTACTATACTCACATGTAGACACATTCTCACAAAAGCTAAAAATGTCCTGGCACTTCACACGTAGCTCACTTTAACAAGATTGGATAGCTCTTGTTTCAGGTTAAAGATAAAAGATATGAAAGGTAGACACCACTACATTTATTCCTTAATTTCTTGTTTTAGAAATATTGTGATATTTTAACAGGACCAAACCAGCTTGAACACTGGTCCCAGGCCAAATTTGATCTTTCTAGTTCATTGACCTAACTGTGGAGAACTTCTACTTGAACATGAAGTTTATTGTCACTTGAAGTAAAATCAGGAGAAAAATGATGAAGTAGTCTTTTTGCTGCAGAAAATAATCTGTTGCAGGTGTGCTTGAAACCAAATGATTTCGAAGAGCCATAATATTCCTATAAAAATAAACAACAATAAATTTTATAATTTTCCAGAAATGTTAGTACAAAACTCACAGTTTGATACAGTCACAAAACATTTCATTACATTATCGAACTACTTTAATCAGTTACTAAACAACCAATGACCTGATTATGCTACAGGAAGCCTTTCTTAGGCTTTGTCTATATACATAAAGATAAGCATTCAACACAACTGTCAAACTTTGATGATACAGAAACATAACACCTACGTTAAAAGAAAAATTGTGCTTCTTAGTTGGCTCACTAAAGTTCTTTTATTTTTACTTTAGGGTGATGGGATGGGAGTAAAAGGAAAAAGCCAGGAATAAAAGAAGTCCAGCCTGGGTAAGTTTATGACTGAGAGAGACCTTATTTCAAAATAAAAAAGGACTGGGAATGTAGTTCAGTGTGAAGGCCTTGGGTCCAATCCCAAAAGGGTTGGGTGGAAAGAAAGGTAAAACAAGTAAGATAATTAATTTAGGAATATAAATTTGAAAACTTAAACACTACAAAAAGCTAGTTTTAGCCATGGAATAGGATTAAGATTCCTCTTCCAATCTCAGTATTAACAACATTTAGTTGCTGGAGCAGGAGGTGGTGTGTGTAAGGGAGCATCTGGGACTCTTTAAAGAGGAGCATGCAGAGGTCTCAGGGCATTATTTCCATATTTTAACAACTAGTACACTCCAGTTTAATATCAGCCATGTTCAAAGGATAGTACAAAAGCAACTTGGCAACTTTCTCAGAAACAACCCCACCTTCACACTCAATCTACTTGCCTTCCCACTATGCTTCTCCTTTTCTCTCAGCATTACAATACTTGAGTAATTTCATAATTTTCAGACACCAAATGGTAGAGACAAAGGTTTTAGACTAGCAATGGTATAAAACTGCAAAATTTGCTCAAGCATGGTAGTGCATGCCTATAATTCCAGCACCCTGGGAGGGGAGGCAGGAGGACCACAAGTTTAAGCCCAACTTGGGTAACTAAGAAACTTAGCAAAAAAAGAAGTAAAGTTTGTGTAGGATTTTCTACATAACAGGTATTGTCAGCATATATTACCTTTTAATTTCTTCCTGTGTTTGTTTTATAGATTCAATGGAACTCTGAATGTCTCCCAATTCTATCCCTTTCTTTCTTCGTGTATTTGGCTTTATAGATTGAGCTAAAAGACATTTAAAATGTAAGTTACAATCATAAAAATCTACAATTAATGATTCTTGTACAATACAAATTTTCATAGGCATCATGCTATTTACTCTTACAGTAAAAAGTAAGCTGTTTTTACTAGTCTGTGATTTCCAGACCCTACTAACGTACTCAAGGAATATGAAGCTTTTTGAAGCACGAAATTGACTTCAAAGCTCAAAATTATATTTTCTGAATTCAGTCAATGTAACTTATTGGTGTTCAGAGCCTAACAAGGCTTAAGGGCACAATTTTACTGTGGTTCTTATCTGTATGTCTCCCATTTTTTCTGCTCCCACATCTTTACCAGTGGCCTGTTCATACAATTCATCTATGACCTAGAATAGCTTTTAAATTCTATCCCTGCCTCTACCAAAACTCTTACATTATCATCTTTGGTTAATTTTTTCATAATTCTACTGAGAGACAATGAGATAGTTTCAAAACCAATTAGTAGCACAGTTTCAATAATTAATACATTGCATATTGTTGTCTTCTTAGTGGTTATTCATAGTACAAGATGCAGACATGATATCCTGTCCATAAATACTATTAGCAGAAATCTATTCATTGAATTAAGAGAAAGTAGCTGTATATGTATCTTATTTTGAATATACAGATACAAAATGGTCCTTCATTTGTATCCCTTTTTTGTCTTTGTCAGAGATAGGTATTCCATTGTCATTTAAATATTGTAAGTGTGTGAATTCAGCAAAATATTCCAATATAGTCCAGTAGTCCATAACAGTAGTGGGTTATCTGTAGGACTGGCAAAGTCAGAAGTTGTTGACTTGAGCCTTTTACAGCTCAGTATATTAATATGGCTTTACTTTTATACTTCGTGTTTACAATTTTCTGCTGCATTGTTAAGACCAAGCTAAAGCAAGACTTATATAACAAGAAAAGTAACTTTTTTTTTTTTTTTTTTTAACCAGGGATTGAACTCAGGCCCTCGTGCTTGCCAGGGAAGCACTTATTCTACTAAGCCTTCTTCCCGGCACCCTGGAAATGTAACTTTTGTATCTGACAAGGTCAGACAAATCCCCTCAGGATTTATCCTGAAATCCTGTACTGCAGTTTGTAGATCCTTTGTCAGTGTTAATCATGTGGATGAGTCACGGCCATTGCTTGACCAATTTGCTCTCTGTGAAAGCCTGAGAGAATATTTTCTCTCCATGTGACTCTCCTTAGGCACACTCTACATCATCAATCACTTTCCCCTATGGCCCCATAATCTACTTGATCAGAAAATTTGGGACGCAACTGAGTTACATGATGTTACAGTACAGTTTCTCCTATGTCCTGAGTCCTCCCTGACCTTGAAAGGCTAGGGCCAAAATGTTGGCTGACCGTGCAGCCCTTCTTTTTCTCTAATTTTTGGTCTGCAAACTTAAGTTGTTAATCCTCCAGAAGAGAAGCTTATTATTATTACCCCACAACATAGGCAGTTGAGCTTAACCTCACTATCTGTCTGGATATCAAACATCTTAGACATAACATGGAACAGGTATTTTTCATCAAGCATTGGTATGTTAAACTATAAGTCCCTACAGAATATGAAAAAAAGAAAATTAAAAAATATTCTACAAAATAGGAATAAACAATTACATATTTTTACACAGAAATCTAGAAATCAAACTGTATACAGCATTATAGCAGGACAGTCCTATGACTTTTTCTTTACTGTTGTTTTCATTTATTACCCTTTTTTGTTTTAAACAAACATTTACTTGAGAGACAGTATGGTAATAATTGGTATGTCATGACAAACAGTACATATTTAGAAGATCAGAATGACAGGCATTCCAAGCATGACCCTAGTATTACTATATTGCTATCTTCAGTGCAGATGCTTAGTTCACAGGTATCAGCATATATAGTCAGGATGAGAATCCTACCAATTAACTGCCAGTTTCAAAACCCTACTGAACATTCTCAGGATCATTGCCTCACCCATCTTGTGCATATAAATGTATGGCTTTTCCCCTGTCATGTTTCCTAGCTTTTCTCCTTGCCGTCTCTTCGTTCTCTAATCCTTAAGTTCTCAATTTTCTTTTAATTATACCTTTCTAGTTTTATTTCTTCTTTTGAGTTCTTACACTAGGGAGACTATATGATATTTACACATGTAGGTCTGGTTTACTTATGAGTATATTTTCAAGTGGCAGCCACTTAAATATAAAGGCTTTGAGTTTATTATTCTTTATTGCGAGTAACACTCCATTGTATAAAAAACCCACATCTTTTCATCCATTCCTCAGGTGACAGGCATCTTGGTTGTTCCCAAGATTTGGCTACTACAAATTGTGCTGCTATAAACATAGGTGCACATATATCACTATGATATGATATTTTCAGCTCCTCTGGGAAAATTCCCAGTAGGGGGACAGCTGGTTTGAATGGGATTTCCAGTACTAGTTTTTTAAGGATTCTCCACACTGATTTCCATAATGGTTGCACCAGTCTACATTCCCACCAGCTGTGGAGAAGGGGTCCTTTTTCCACAGCCTCTCCAAAATTCGTTGTCAGTTGATTTCTTTATGATAGCTATTCTTTCTGGGGTGAGATGGTATCTCACTCAGTGTTGTTTTAATTTGCATTTCATGGATGGCTAGTGATGTGGAGCATTTTTTCGCTTCTTTAATTTCATCCTCTGAGAAGTGTGTGTTCATCTCAGATGCCCATTTCTGGACTGGGTCTTTAAATTTTGGGGCCCTAGTGTTTTTTATAAATTCTAGAGAGAAGACCTTTGTCTGAGTGTTTATTAGTTAAGATTTTTTCCAAATTTGTGGGTTGTCTCTTCACTTTGTTGGTAATTTCTTTTGACATGAAAAAACTTCTCAGTAAGAGCAGATCCCAGTTGATAATTCTTTCAAGTATTACCTGTGTGATTTGATTTTTGTTCATGAAGTCTTTGCCAATCCCTATGTCTTCAAGAGTTCCTCCTATTTTCTCTTCTAGGAGATTTAGTGTTTCTGTTTTAATGTTTAGATCTTTAATCCATTTTGACTTTAGTTTAGTGCATGGTGATAGACCTGGGTCAGGTTTTAGTTTTCAGCATGTAGAGAGTCAGTTTTTCCAACACCACTTGTTAAAGAGGCTATCTTTCTTCCAGTAAGCATGTTTGGCCCTTTGTCAAAGACAAGGTGGCTGAGTGTGTTCATAGAGGCTTCTGTGTCTTCTAATTTATTCCACTGATCCTCAGGTCTATTTTGTTGCCAATACCATGCTGATTTTATCATAGTAGCTCTGTAGTATAATTTCAAGTCAGGAATTGTAATACTTCCTGCCTTCTTTTTGTTGCCCAGGATTGTCTTTGCTATTCTAGGTCTTTTCTGGTTCCAAATAAATTTTAGGAATGATTTCTCTAGGTCTGTGAGGTATGTTGTTGGTAGTGTGATTTGAATTGCACTGAATCTGTACAGCAATTTTGTGAGTATGGCCATCTTCACAATGTTGGTTCTTCCTATCCAGGAGCAGAGAATATCTTTCCATTTTCTGAAATCCTCTATGATCTCTTTTTTCAAAGTACTGTAATTTTTCTTGAAAAGATCTTTGACTTCTTTAGTTAGGTTAATTCCAAGGTATTTCATTTTCCTTGGTGCTACTGTAAAAAGTACTGTTTCTCTAATTTCCCTCTCAGTGTGTTTGTTATCCGTGTAGAGGGATGTTATTGACTTCTGGGTATTGACTTTGTATCCTGCAATGCTACTAAATCTGTGTATCAATCCTAGTAGCTTCTTGGTGGAGGTTTTTGGATCTTCCAAGTAAAGTATCATGTCATCTGTGAATAATGATAGTTTTCTTTACCTATTCTTACTCCTTTTATTTCTCCCTCTTTTCCAATGGCTCTAAGCTAATGATTCCAGAACTATATTGAATAGGAGTGGTGGTCTTGAGTTATTTTGAAAAAAACATTTCTATATAGTGGAGAGTTTTCAAAATGATTCACCTTCACTTCCAGATGAGTCCTGGATATCAGGTTCTGGGGACGAATAGCCTTTTGCCACTTTCTTCTGTTGCCTTGGTGGCTTATGTTTTATTTTGGGGACACTAACCTGTAAAAAAATCATACTGTTATGTGAGTTTGCATTATAACTTGTAATTAAAGACTACTGTTATACAAATATCAACACTGTTCATGGGCGTACTATTTAGAAATAAAAGCATTTTTGTTTTTTTGAGGTTTTGCTATATAGTTCAAGTTGGCCTTGCACTCACTACATAGTGCAGGTTGGCCTCAAACTTGGGGTGATCCTCTTGCTCCAGCCTGAGTGCTAGTATTACTAATGGGAATGTGCCACCACATCTACTTAGAGGTATTTTTAAGAACACACAAATATAAATATGTAACCATAGTCAAGTGATATAACTGCATGTTGTAACTCCACTAGCATACTAAATAAAGTGCCATAAAATCATGTTATCTTTTTTTTTTTTTTTCATTTAGTGCAGGGTCTACACGGTCTCATTACTAGATCAGACTTGTGGTGATTCTCTTGTTTTCAGCTTCCCAACCACTGGGATTACATGCGCGTGCCACCATGCCCAGTCTCAATCACCATATCAGCGTTTTCCAGGGGTGGGGCCTGCATGGCAGGCTGGGGACTCAACCTCCAACCCCTGTGTCTGCTTAAGTAGGCACTTTAATCTGCTGAGCTATCTGGCCGGCCCTAAATCATCTTATTTTGTTCTCAATGTTAAAACAATGATACTGCATCTTTAACAAAAGTTTGATTATTTTTTCAATAATATCCATGTAATTCACAAGGTATATTATAATAAAAACAGTAATGGTATTTTGCAGAGCATATGAAAAGTTATTGAAAGCAAATATACAATCATATACACAAGGTGCAAACTCATCAAGTAGGGCTAAATTATCCTTAAAATAATAAATGTTAAACTCTATCAGTAGGTTTGTAATTCTGGTCATCAGTCCTACAGATGCAAGAAACTAGCATTAGAACAGTGAGATAATCTTATTCAGGATCAAGTAGGGGTTACAAGTATTAAATTTTGTAAAACTTTATAAATGTATTTCAAAAAGTTTATATTAATGTAATAAACAGGTAGATTCTGGATTCAGCTTATGATGTCTCAGAATCTTTTAAGATACAGACTAGAAATCCACATTTTTAGAGTAGGTTTGAATTGGAGAGTCATGAGGAGCAATGAGAACCTATTCAAAATCAGAAGTCAGTAAAGATTTATACAGACTCATTGTGATTAGTAAAGTTTATCTTTAGGAACAAATACAGATGTTTCATGTCTGTTTTAGATTGTTAAAAGAACACATGCAATTAAAATTTTTTTTTCACATTTTATGGCATATATACTATAAATATTGTATCTTGGAGCAAATCTTCAGCATCCTTTTTAAACTGAGACAGGGTCTCACTAAGTTGCTCAGGCTGGCCTTGAATTTGTGATCCTCTTGCCTCAGCCTCCTGAGGAGCTGGAATTACATATGTGTTGTTCTTATTACAGCTTGTAAAGTTATAGGGTGAATTTGTTCATTAGTTATAGTAGCTTTTTTGTGATTGCTTGGCATTTTTTACATATAAGATTATGTATCTGTTAATATGGGTATGTAATGAGTGGCTTCCCTTTTACTGCTTTATTATTCCTTCTAGCTTTTACAGTCAGTCTTAGTGTGGGTCTTTGAGGTTACCCTACTTAGAGATTGTTAAGCTTTTTGGATTTATAGACTCATATCTTTCATTAAATTTGGGAGACTTCTTTCCTCAAATATTTACCCATTTTCTCTCTTCTCCTTTGGGAGAAATGATGACCCACTGATAAGTGTACCTCAGGTCCTTTAGGCTCTGTTCATTTTTCTTTCTGCTCCTCAGATTACAGAACTGTTTTATCTCTAAATCTGCTGATTCTGTCTTGTGCTTACTCTAACTTGCTGCTGAATTTCTTTACTGAATTTTTCAGCTCTATAATTTGTTTGTAGTAAGACTCAGTAATGTAGGCCTCATCCCAGCCACTCAGGAGCCTGAGGCTGGAGGATTGTAAATGTAAATGTAAGGCCACTGAGAAATTTAAGACACTCTCTTTCAGAATAACAATTAAGCCAGATGTGGTAGTGCACACCTGTAATCTCAGCACTTGTGAGGCTCCCGCAGGAAGATCACTGGGAGTTTGAAGCCAGCCTGGGCTACATGGTGAGACCCTTCTCAAAACAAAAGCAAAAAATAAATATATAAATTAAAAAATTAAGAAAAATAGCTAATGAAACAGCTTGCTGGTATAGTGCTTGCCCAGCATGTGCAAGATTCTGGGCTCAATCCCCAGGACTGAAGTTTTGTTTGGTTTCTTTGTATAATGTCTCTTTATTGCTATTCTCAGAGATGAATGACTTACATGAGGCCTGTATGTAGCATGTACCCTCACAGATTGGTGTATACATGATTTGTAAATATGATCTGCTGTGCTCTCTTGAGAACCATGCTGGGAGAAGTAAGGGCCAGTAAAATGTACCATCTTCCTATTGCTTTTGTTCTTTTGGAGAAAGCCCTTGCTATATTGTTTAGCCTGGCACTGAACTCAGTATGCAACACAGGCTGGTCTCAAACTCATGGTGATCCTTCTGCCTCAGCCTCCCAAGTGTTGGGATCACAAGTGCGCACCACAATACCTAGCTTTCCTATTGTTTTTAAGTCAACATTTTCTTTCTTTTAAAGAGAATTTTTAAAAAAACAATAAAAATTATACAGTTATAGCAGTCCTTTGCTTTTGCAAATCTCTCACTGTTTTCCATAGTTTGGATAAATTTTGTTTTCATGTCTTTTGCTTTTTTCCTGATATTTTTTGGAGTGAGAATTTGAAGCTGCCTACTCTGCCAATTTGATTCCTGAAAACGTTAAAATTTTGAAAACATATTTTAAATACTGATTGCTTATGAGATATAGTTAATTTATTATTACATACCATTGGAGTGCGATGTTTAACTTTGGTCTGGATAACACCATCTTTTTCAAACTGTATCATATCATTAAGTGGGTCCCATGGTCGAGTACTAAATAAATGAATAAGCAAGCATTTGTTTAATGACAGAGAAACTTAAAGTTTCTATTGTAAAATAGATTTTCATTAATAAGCACAGTTCTAATATTAAGATTTGCACATACCTGATCCTACTCTCCTGATCCTTATTTTATAGGCTATCAGAGTCAAGTTTATAACAAATGGCACATCAGGTTTAAACTTTCACACCAATGTTACGGTAACTAACAAATATTCTAGAAATGAAGGCAACAAATGTTGCTAAGGTATTATTTGAAATAAACTCATTTTAACTACTTACTCTGAAAATTTGTAATGCCATTCTCCTGTGAGTGGGTCTGATTCAAATAACTTGCAAGCCCACTCCTCGTTTTTTGTTTTCCGATCTCTGGCAGCTTGTCTTTGAGCTTCTTCTAAAACGTATTTCTCTTGAGTAGCTTCAGTTTGGTCTTTGGCATTTATGGCTCGAGTTACTCGTTGCCAGAGTCTAATACATGTGCAAAAATAATATTTAAAAACAGTAACAGAAAACCAAATCTACATACAACTGGTCTGAATCTTGAGAGAAAATAATGCACATGTGGATTTCTGGCTTTGATTAAGTGTATGCTCACATGCTCAGGAATGAGTCAACATATTAGAGTCTAGTGCCTTCAGTTGAGAAACACCTGCTCCTGAGTTAAAACTAATTTCTTTTTGGCAAGAGAAATTTATCACATGTGCTTTTAAACATATGGTAGTGAATCTGCTCACTGAAGATGACGGAATGTAGCAAAAGCAAGGCCAAAGGAGTATTTTAACAAGCTCCCCAGGTGATTCTTTTTTTTTGGATTGGAAATTGAATTCAGGACCTTATGCTGCTTGGCACTGAGCTACATCCTTGACCCCCTCATTTAAACTCCTCTGTCCTCATGAAGATCCATGTACAAAGCAGTGCCTCTCAGACTTGGATGCATGAATTATCAACACTTTTAAAACTGGAATCTCTAGGAGCAGGATCAAGCATTAATATATTTTTAAAAAATATTAAAATGCTGCCAGTATTGGGAACTACTGACTTAACAGAAATGATTCTGAGGAAAATAATTTCCTCCATTACAATCTGGTTTTCTCATTATTAAATGAAAGGATAACAACTACATTCTATCCATCATTGAGAAGGCAACATGTTAAAAGTGAAGTTGGAATCATTAAGATTTGGGTTGAACCCTAAACCTGCCATTTCTCAGTTGGTGTAAAGTTCATGCTAAGTCTCATTTCCTAATCTTTAAGATATGCTGAATTATATCCATATCTTAAAAATTGTTAGACATTTTAGAAAAATAGCTTTGATGGACAGCATCATGTGTTTATGGCTGAAATGGAATTTTGTTTTGTTGGCAGTACTGGTAATCAAATCCAGGGCTTTCACACTGAGCTACATCCCTAGTCCATGTGGTGTTTTTTAAAACTTTGAGAGAGAGGCAGATGAAGTGGAATATGACTGCAATCCTACTACTGAGGAGGCTAAGGCAGCTAGATCACCATGAGCTTGAGATCAGCCTGGACAACATAGTGAGTTCAAGGCCAGCCTGAACTGCATACTAAAGCCCCTTTTTTTTTTTTTTTTTTTTAGTGCAGTTGATGTTTACTGACAACAATACAAAACAGGTTAAGATTAAAGCTGTTATTTTAGAGGAACAGATATCAGTGCAGTTTCCTTCCTAGAGAAAGTATGTACTCATCTCAGATCATGAGACCTAAGAAAAAACAAAGACTAGATTGTCAAGAACCACACAGGGATTACATTTTACCTATTAATAGAAAAAAATGCTAATGGCAAAATGAAAGGTTTAAAAATATCATTGATCTAAGCTCATGCAAGCAAACAAAAGGATAAAATTAATCCTAAGATTTGAGGACACAGGATACAGACATGACTTTTCAAATTTCTGTATCTGTGAAAATTTGTTACTCTCTTCACTATACTTGTACTAAAATCACATGCTTCTTCCTTCTACACCACACAAAGTCAACAGTTATCATCAACAATGCAAAATAACTAGATCTGAACAAGACTTCAAAGTGACTCTGCTCCACCCAAATAAAGAATATTCAATCCAGGATTAATATTCAAGCCAGGATTAATAAACACTTTTTGATTTTAGAGCCAGTTCTTTTTTTTTCTCCTGCCATACAAAATTACTTTGTTCTAAAAAAAAAAAAAAAATCAACCCTGAAGGCATTCGGAGCCCCAAAAAATAAATAAATAAATAAATTAATTAATTAATTAAATTAAATAAATGATAAAAGGTCTTGCTAAGCTGCTAAGTTGTTTGGGTCACAAACTCAAACTTGTGACCCGTCTGCCTCAGCCTCACAGAGGGCTGGGATTACAGGTGTGCACCACCATGTCTGGTTATGAGATGAAATTTTTAGAACTATAGATTTTCCACTTTACAGGTGGAAAAAAGCCTCAATTTTGAGTGCAGAAAGTGCACATAGGCTTGGGCACCCACAAAAGAGAATGACACACAGATGGGAAGATGTGGTGAAGACCAATGTACGCAAAGTGTGTAGCATTTTCTTCCACACAGATCTCCTCTAATACAAAGAGATAAAGTGGGTAAAATATTTTTGATTCAAAAATAAGTGATCTAGCAAGAATTTCATGACTTAAGAACAGAAACTATGGCACCGATTACTGCCCAACTAATTAAATCTTTTGGAAGCCAGCACCTGCAGTGGTATTATTCCTGTGCTTTATAGAATGCATAAAAGCGGGTTCTGTACCACTTCCTTCGCCACACCACATGCTTATACTAGGCTAAAAATAGTTGTTAAGGAGAAACTAGGAATCACTAACAAAAAGAAATACATTAAGTATTAGAAAAGAAAGCAAAAAATAGGTTGTTTTGAGTTACAGACAAGTAAGAGATTTGTATTTATTTGATATTCACATATACAGAATAATGTCAACAGCCCACAAATTATAAACTTTATTTTCTTCCTGTGGTTCAGGGGACTGAACTGGGGCCTCATACATATTAGGAAACTGTTTTTCCAGAGCTACATTCTCAGCCCCCACTCCTTTTTCAAACTTTTGTGACAAGGTTTCCCTGAGTTGCTCAGACTGGCCTTGAACTTGAACTTGCAAACCCTGCCTAAGGCACTGGAGTAGATGAGATACAGGTATGTACCATCATGCCTGGCTACAAATGATAAACTATTTCATTGAAGAAAATGTGACAGCAGAGAATAGTGATCACAATATTAAATTATTAAAAGAACACTGATCTCATAAAGGTAGCTGAAAAATGGTATACTTACTTCTCTGACTCAAAATCATCTTGCTCTTCAAATTTGACAGTGTGCCTTATTAACCTCCATTGCTTAATGTCAGGTGTTGGGTTCCAGAAAACCTCTGAGTTATCGGTCTTTTTGTCATTAATAAAAACTTCACTATCCTATATTTAAGAAAATTAAACATTAATGTAGAAAATTATTTTTATTTAGAAGGGGCTTATATAATAAAATAACTTTTCCCTGTTAATGAATCTTAAACACATTTTTAAACAAATATAATTAGTATTTTTCTAAAAGTCTCAACTTTATTTCTATAAAAATACTCTAATAAAGCTTAAACATGTAATAGTAGTCAATTTTGAAAAATTTGGTTGAATACATAGAAAGTTCATGAGATCGTACAAGTTTTACTTACTAAGTAAATGGCAAGCATTACATGCAAAACCTCAACTATCATCTTCAAACTGTGAAGGAAGAACACAGTCTGCAGCAGTTACGAAGCACTGCTATTCATCATGTATGGATTATCTATCTATATAAGAAACCTGAAAGAGCCTTTTGAATTAAAAATTGGTGCATAAATGTAGAAATTTTATTCATTTTTTAAAGACTCCTTTTTATTCCCAAATCATATTCAGAGGTAAATCAGTTTAAAAATTCTGTAGCAGATATACAACCCAGCTGAGTCCCTAGATCTAGTTTCATCTTTCTTTGTGTTTCACTTATTATAATGCAGATAACAGCAGGTGCTCAGTGTTCCAGTGAAAGTACATCTACGCAGCACCAAGACCCTGAGGGTTCTTTCTCTTGAAAATTACACAAATATGAATACAGGTCAGCAGAGAAGTAAATCAAAGCCATTGACCTCATAATATCCTACTAGATCCTTTACACATTCCTCTAAACTATATCTTCGTGTGGAGCTAGGCCTCTTTCTTCTAGGCCAGGAGAAATAAAATCTGTGCATAAAAGCACAGCCCTACATCCAGAGTTCCATAACTTTAAGCAAATTATTTAAATACTGTGCCTTAGTTTTCTCCTCTATAAAATGGGGACAATAACAAGCAATATTAAATTGAGTATTTATGTACCCATCTCATAGTATTAATATGTTACATTCTTTGTGCTACACGTAGTAAACAACACACAAGTCTTAGCCATTTCTACAAATATGAAAGGGTTTTTTTTTGAGACAGGGTCTCACTACATAGTTCAGGGTGGCCTTCACTCACTTTGCAGCCCAAACTGGCCTTGTACTCACAGTGATCCTCCAGCTGCAGCCTCTCGAGGGCTGGGATCACAGGTGTGTGTTACTGCACCCAGCTCGTCAAAGTTTTAGAAAAGTAAAACATTACTTTTATTATATAAAACTAAATATTGTTAATGACAGAATAATACCAAAATATCTGCTATTAAGCTGAAGTTTAAGTTAAAATATTGGTACTTTTAGCAATGGAATTAAGTAGGCTTTTACTTCTTTAATTTTTTCCACAGAATAAGTTTTTTGCATAAAGCTAACATAAAAATATTTACCCAATGGCCTTCCAAAGTAGCTAGGACTTCTTTTCCCAATTTAAGTTTCCCTGATATTTGATTAACACAATCACTACTCCCTAAAAATGGCTGAAATGGAAAAGAAAAAGTTAAATGTTAATATATATTTTTATACAATGTAGAAAAACATTATTCTGAAATAGCGACATTCTCAAATTTTAGTTAGAAATGAGGTAGACATAGACAATGTGAAATCTGAACACATGAAGAAAGCCTACAATGACATAACTGACTCATGTGCCAGGTTCTCTCAGGTGCTGTTCTCCCGTCAAGGCTGTGCCCTACCAATGTGGCAATGCATTAAAAAATAAGCACTCAGTAAACAGAAGGAACTTAGTGATTTTTGAAAGAAATAACACCCTTTCTTTCAAAAACAAAAAACAAGAAACAACAAATAAAATACATAACCAAAACTAAAAGGAATACACTTTAGGCTGCTGTGTAGCCTGACTAATTTTGTTATGTAAGTACTGCGCGCTAACCGATTGCGAGACTGGAGCTTCGTAGCTCCAGTTTTTGATGTTCCAGTGTTATTAACTGCTTAAGAATCTTTCACCATGGTTTTCAAACACCAGTATCACCATCCAAGCAAAATTTTGCTACAGTGGAAAAAAAAAATCATTAAAAGGGAATTATATCAAATAACACATAAGAGGTCTTTTTCATTAGAGCAGAATTTCCTATCAGCTGGATATCTACATGGGAGCAATTTAGCAATAAATATAGTTCGTAGTAGTATTTTTATGTGAACATGACATACTGGCAGTACAAAAAGGTCTGAAATTTCCCTTTTACTCTAAGGCACACAATTTTTCTTTTTTCCTTTTTTTGAGACAGGGACCCACTGTGTAGTTCAGGTTGGCCTTGCACTCACTATGTAGCCCAGGCTGCCGAGTGCTGGGATTACAGACCTGTGCCATCACACTCGGCACAATATTTCAAAGATAGTCACAAGAATGTCTACCCTTCTCCCATCCAGGCCACACGTTCTTCCTCAGTGAGACTAGTCCTCTCTCCCATTGACAAATGAGGTTGACATCCCCTCTCCCTCAATTTGAGTAGCTAGTAATTCTTCTAGAGAAGTGACAGAAGTGGTAGAAGAAATTTGGCTCCTGAAGCTAGGTCAGGGAAGGCTCCTACCTTGCTCAACTGGGGACTTGCACAGGGTAATCATAAGCTGCCAAGTTAGAAGTTTGACCACCTTGAAACTCCCAAGTTACATGGAAAGGCCAGATACGTAAGTATGTGGGTAACTGCAGGTCCTTTAGTCCCAGATCAGATATTAGACACATACACGACGGCGCCAACTATCAAGTCATCCCTGCCCTGGAAGCATTCCTGGGCCCAGCATTATGTTGCAGAGATGAGTTACCTCTAATGTGCCCATCCAAATTTCTGCACCACGGATCACCTGAGGATCAGAACATGGCTGTTTTTCAGCCTGTGAGTTCAGTCATTTGTTATGCAGTAACAGTGAGCAACACAATTTTGTCTTAGTAAGCATGACTAGAATACAAGATGATATAGTACTCTGTAAAGCAGTGCTTTAATTTACAGAGCAATTTCTATCTAATCACTTCAAGTCTCATCTCTTACATAATACTAATAGTTTTATCAATTAAAGAGAAAAACGATGGCTTTGTGTTACTTTGGTTTTTCTAGGCTGCTATCTCAAGATATTCACCCAGTCTTGCCCTCATCCCTTTGATGAACTTTTTTTTTTTTTTTTTGGTACTAGGAATCGAACTCAGAACCTTGTGCTTGCCAGGAGGAATGGTGGCACTGAGCTATACCGCTGGCTTATTGATTTGACATGAACTGTATTCTTATATTTAGTCTATAATTACCAGGAAACTAAACTATATTCTTTATTACTACTTACAGTATAGCTCTTCTTAAATTAAGTAATATTTCCTACAATTTTGTACAAACCTTTAGTTTAAATTCAAGTATTGCACTGTATCCAGTTTTTTGACATGTAATATTGACTATTCCACCAAGCTCCAGTGTCATTGTGCCATAAAGAATTCCTAAAGAAAAAAAAACCTGTCAAACATCTGAAGAGAAGAAAGGCACTGGGCAATGATAAATAGCATTCTATACTCTAATATCCTTTCAGGAGAAACTTATAATTCAAGGGCATTCCATCCCACTTCATAAAAATCTGTAACATAGACCTAAGTTTTTTTTTTATAAGCTATGAATAAGTTTATCCACAGTATGTGCTGACTCCATATCTGCAACTTTTGCCTACTCTGTATATAGTTCCAAAATCACAGTGCTTTTGTGGTCATTCAAGGACACGCACAGAGTGGCAAATAAAGGAGGCAACACTATTTCAGCTCTTTAAAAAAGTATTCTTTCTGCAGAGCACTCAGTGTTGTATGCTTTGCATTTTTGTGCTTTTTATTAGAGTTTTATCTAATCAATTGACCAAAGTGTAGAACTGAACAGCTGTCTAGTTCTTAAGTACAAGAAGACTATGCTGTACCTTACAGAGACATTGTACATTTTAAAGCTTTGTTCAAGTATGAGTTAAACTGCTACTGGCTGCTAGTTCAATAGGCAATGAAATAATATATAATGTCATAGTTAAACATGGTGTCTTTTATTTTAATTTTTATTTTATTTTATTTTTTCAAACCAAATTGGTAAGACAGTTTCAATAATTAACACATTGCATACATTCTTCCTAGTGGTTAACTGCTGTACAAGATGCAGACATGATATCCGATTTACAAACACTACTACAACAAATCCTTCTATTCATTAAGAGAATGTAACTATACATCTATTCTAACCATTTTGAATACACAGATACAAAATGGACATTCATCTGTATCCCCTTTTTTGTTTAGTTCCGTTATTTGAATATTACAGGTGTGTTAACTCCGCAAAATATTCTAAAAGTGTCCAGTAGTCCATAATAGTATTGGGTCTTCCGCTTGACTGGCAATGTCAGAAATTGTTGACCTGAGTCCCCTACAGCTCAACATAACAGTATGGCTTTACTTCTTCTACTTCGTTTTTATATTTTTCTGCTGGATGGTTAAGACCAAGATAAAGCAAGACCTATGCAACAAGAGTTGCAGCTTTTGGGTCTGATAAGGTCAGTGAAATCCTCCAGGAATTTTCCTGAGATCCTGTACCTCAGATTGTAGATCCTTTGTCAGTGTCAGCTCTGTGGATGAGTCATGGCCATTACTTGGCCAATGTGCTCTCTGTGAAAGCCTGAGAGAATGTTTTCTCTCCATGTGACTCTCCTGAGGCACACTCTACATCATCAATCACGTTCCTCTTGGCCCCATAATCTCCTTGATCAGAAAATTTGGGACACTACTGAGTTACGTGACGTTACAGTACAAGTTCTCATATGTCCTGAGTCTTAATTGGCCATGGAAGGCTAGGGCCAAAATGTTGGCTTTCCTTGCAGCCCTCCTTTTTCTCTAATTTTGGTCTGCAAACTTAGGTTGTTAACCCTCCAGAAGAGAAGTTTATTGTTATTACCATACAACCGAGGCTGTTAAGCTTAACCTCACTATCTGTCTGAATATCAAACATCTTAGACATAACATGGAACAGGTATTTTTCATCAAGTATTGATAAAACATGGTGTCTTTAAAAGAAATACATATAAAGAAGGTTATATAGTAATGGAAATATTGTTGATGGAAATACTGAATTAGTTAATGGAAAGACACTCACAGGAACTTAACTCATTTTCTCTAGGAGCAGTAATAAAATGAAGCAAACAAACAGAACTGCAAAATAGGTTCTTAGGCTAGAAACTGGGGAAGTTGTTAAGTTAAAGTTAAACAGGTGTACATGTGTGTACCTATTAAGTAAGCTACTCAAACAGCTTTTAATACACAAACAGATGACATAACTTTCTGGGAGGGACACAGACTATGAAACATTATTCAGACTTATTTGGCCATAAAAGTTTTATTTTACAAAACAACTTGTGAGACCAGTGATTTGGGAATAACACCTTAGAAAACACACAGAAAATCTTATAAAAATTTGTTATGTCTTAATGTTCATCATAAACAGTTATATTTGCTCTTTATCCCCCCACCCATGCAATAAAAACACTATTACAAAAAAATTTCCCTATTGCCAGTTGGGTTATGGCATGGGATAAATGATACAAAATTTAAAAATATTTGTGCTTATTAATTCCCAATTTCAGACACTGTAGGCTTATTTTAAGAATTGTAAATGAAGCTCTAAGAATAACTAGTCTGAAGCCATAACTTGGTTCCATACTAACTGGGTGAAACTTGATAAGATTCGTAACATTTTAGGTTTCTCAACTATGACATGAGACCATATTAAAGAATTTGTTTTTGTGAATCAGTTCTTAAAACAGCTATCAAAAAAAAAAAAAAAAAAGTAAAATTTTTTTGAGTGTTGTATACATGCTTGTAATCACAACACTTGGGATGCTGAAGCAGGAGTATTCTTAAGAATTCAAGGCCAGTCTGTGCTATCCAGTGAATTAATTCAAGGCCAGCCTGAACTATACAGTGAAACCCTATTTCAAGGGGGAAAAAAAAAGTTGTTTTTCTTTTTTTAATATATTTGTTCTCACTACACAGCTCAGCTCTTTTGCAGGTCAGACTAGTAAGTGATCCTCCTGTTGTCAGCCTCCCGTGTGCTGTGATTACAGGTGTGCGCCACCATGCCCAAACTCAGTGGCCAGTTCAGCACGCCCAGGGGCAGGGCTGGTGAAGCATATGGTGCCCAGGATCAAACCCCGGTCCCTGTGCTTGTCTAAGTGGGCGCTTAGTCTGCTGAGCTATCTCACTAGCCCTAAAGAAAAAAAAGTTTTAAGAAATATGTTGGAAGTCAGATATGGTGGTGCCCTTGTAATTCTAGCACTCAGGAGGTTGAAATATTACGAGGATCACTGTGAGTTTAAGGCCAGCGTGAATTGCATATCAAGTCCCTGTTTTAAAAAAAGAGGTATGCTGGGACGGGGGAAGAGACAAGAAATACACTGGAAAGGCATGTAGACATACTGATCAAGCCAAGTGTTGTTAAAGTTGATACAAAATAGTAAAAAGTTAGGATTGTAGAGTCATATCTTGACGTTGTCATCTCTTAGCTGGGTGATCATAGGTAAATTAACCTCTTTGCCCTGCATTTTCCATATTCATAAAACAGGGAAATAGTTCTGCTTTTCACAACTGCTAAAATTATCAAATAAGCTGATAAAAGTGAAGCACACTGAAAGGTTGGTTGAAATATAGTTGTATTACAAATATAGATATTACTTAATATCTTTATATGTATTCTGCACAATGAGAGAGGAATGATACATTAATGTTTAAGAAATTATCAAATGAGTATAAAAACTTTAAAGGACTTAGACACTGAAAAACAGTAAATCAAAATGTCTAACAGGGTAGTAGTGTAAGAACCTTTAAAATCACTTTTAAGGATGCTGAAATAATGAAAAGTTTCATCAAATTTCAAACCCTGCACATAGGCAAGTACAAAGTAATTCCAATATTACAAACCAGTCTCTTCCAAATAGAGCTGATTCAACATAAATCCATTACATGTGAGTTTATCACCACAGACATACTCAGAGGTATCAATCATCTTATGTACAGAACAAAGGAGATACTTTCAAACAAAGTATGACTAACTCCACCAATCTCCAATCATAGCAAAAACTGACTGCACATATTTACTTAGAAAGAAGGCTTAAGAAGCATCTAACACAAGTGTGTGAAGTGTTACCTTTACAATGAGCATATGGCATCGTCATTACATAGTCTTCGCCTCTATTCAAGAATGTTAACCGTGCTTCTCCTTCTAGTATTGCAGATAATGAGTTTCCTGAAACAAAGTATGACTAAATTTCACAAAAGTAATTTCAACTCATTTAAACAAAATATATTTAGGGCATCTACCAGGTATCTATAGCAGAGTCTGTTTACAACATCTCAGTGTCAATGACTCAAATGTGCCCAAATTTCTACTTATTAACTTACACCTAAAATAGTACTTAATTCATATTCTCATTTGTATAATGTGAGTACTTTCAAGTTATAGTTATGTTTGATACATTATGAAAAAAATCTCAAATATATAAAATATCCAAAAAAACACCCACTATTTCACAATATAGCTTAATTTCTTTTTTTGAATTAAAGGAATTCTGATATGTAAGTCATGTAACTTGGTTTACTCTCAACATGTAAATTCTTTTACTTGTATTTTATCTGAAGACTATATTCTTGCTTTTTTTTGGCGGAATTGGGGATTGAACTCAGGCCCTTGCACTTACCAGGCAAGCACCTATTCTACTGAGCCATCTCCCCAGCCCTGAAGACTATATTCTTGAGGAATATTTTTACTGCATATTGAGTTCCAAGTCAGCAGTTCTTCTCAGCACTCTTCTCAAACACTAAGGTGTTTCCCTTTCTTGCATTCTTCAAAGATCTCGTGAGAAGTTAGCCATTACACAATCACTGTTTTCCAGGGTATGCTGTGCTGCTTTTTCTTAGTGTTTTCGAGATGTGCTCTGATCTTTAGCTTTCAACAGTCTCACTATCTGTGTCGGCTTAGCTTTCTTCATGACTACTATTTAGTGCTCTTTAAGCATCCTGGACATATGATTTATGTATTTTATTAAATTTGGGAAACCTTTAGCATTTGTTTTTCTACTTTTTCTGTTTTCCATATTGTATCTAAATGTTCAAGTTCATTTACTTTCTTTTTTCATTTCCATTCAGGTGCAAAGTTCATTCTACAACTTTAATTTCACATATTTTTTATTTCTAGAATTTCTGATTTTTAAAAGTAATTCCTATTTCTATTGTCCTGCTGAGTTGTTCTTTCTTTCCATTCACTATTACTTACTTGAGGGCACTTACAGTTACATTAAAATCCTAGTGTCCTGCTTCCAAATTGTATCCTGGGGTTGCTCTCAGTTGATGTTTCTTTTACCCTTGACATTATGCTTCATTTTTCTTGTGGTAGAAGCAAAGTGACTCTTACTTTATCCTGGGCTTCATAAATGTTAAGTGCACACTCTGAATCCTATACTTTTTTCAATCAGAGTTGCTTCCTTCTTTCAGCTGGCAGTTATCTGGCTAATATCTGAGGGCAACAATTTTCTCTAGACACAGACCTTCTAGGTCAGATATGTGAACATGAGAATCTGAGATTCTCTTTTCTAGCTTGTCCTTTTAAGAGTCCTACTTTCTGTCCAGCAGTGTTGGTTTCTATGAACTGTCCCTTGGTTAAACTGCTTGCTAATTTACAACTGGCCTAAAGCCCAAAGTCATGAAACTAAGATTTATTCTGGGTATTTTTCTTGTATGACTGTGGACTCCAGAGTTTGCATGTGACTGTTTTTACTTCAGAGGTCTTCAGGTAGCTGGGTGTCTTGTTTGTCTGCCTGTATTTATTCATAATATCCAGATGTTGGCAAGAGTAGGATTAATCTAAAAAGACCTTGCTCAGCTACTACCATCCAGAGGCATTTTCATCAGAATAAAATATAAAAGTTTTTGTATCTGATCTTATATATGGGGTTGGTATATAAATTATTTCTTTTATTATATACTATTTTTTCTCTTTT